CACAGAGATGATGTGACAGTTGTAACTCTGAGGATGGGTTGTAAGTCATTGTTTCCAAGTCTACCTTAAATTCAAACCATTATTAAATGAACAGTAATAATTTGATGACTATCTGTATTATTTAATTTATATGCCTACCATGGATTTTAAAAATCTTTTTCTTATATTAACCTCAAAGAGTCATTTGATTCCAATGAGATTGAAATATTATAAATCAAAAAGCAAACAATCCTATTCTTGAAGACTCACTTCTGGAGAGGCAACCTAACCTCTTGTGCAAGGCAGCTGGCAAAGCTGGTTGGAAGAAGTGTCATATAACCCCAAAGACCCTTAGGTGTGCAGCCAGCCAGGCTGTCCATCTTCCTGTATAGGTCCAGGAGTTTCACCCTGAGCAAGAGCAGCTCCTGGTAACAGCAGTGGGCACAGCTTAATGGGGTTTTTTTTTTCCTAATAGCCATCCAAAGTGGCAGGATTAGCACCGCACTCTCCCTTAAAATAATAGTTGAGTTGCAGATTGGATATTTCAACTAGCCTTAGTCTAGGATGAGATGTGGGCAATTATCTACTGTTCATACTCCTATAGTGAATAATAGATTTTTGTTTGTTTGTTTGTTTTAACAAGGCTTAACATATTTATCAAATAAAAACATTAGATAAAAATTATTACAACAATATGGAATCAATTGGTAGGAAGACGGTTGTGGGCTGGGTAGATGGGGAATCCATATGACCTAAAATAAGATTAGCTGTAAGTCAGTTGTATTGCCTCAAAAATATAAACGGTGAAAACAATAGATTACTATGGTTTATGTTACTAAAACTAAATTTTTAAAAAATTAAAACATAGTCCGTTAAATGAAATATTTATTTACATATATCAGTATCAGAAATATTATAATTTTGCTCTTTTCCCTAAAATAAAATTCAGTATTTGAAGCAATCAGTTAATAATTAGATATCAGAGCTTTCCATTTATTAGCAATTTAAATCTGTTACAAACCCATTCCATTATTGTTTTGTAGTTTCATTTTGGCATCCTTTCTAGTTTCATTTTCAGTAATACAGTTCCTTTGTTTTCAGAAATAGTTAATGAGGAAATAACGTTACTAACGTATTATCTGCATTCATTAATGATATGCTACTTCATTGCAATTTTACTATTTCAGATATGGAACTATAAGTAGTCTTCAACTTGTTCATTCAGCAACCTGTGGTCCTATGATCAAAATTTGGGCACTTGGTAGCCCACATGCAGTTACAACCTGTGGCTTGTTGCAACTCTCCCACTTGCCTATCTCTCCCCAATCTATGCCCCTTTGTCCTCTTCAGCTGGACCAGAAGAGGGCCAGACCTTCAGCGGCCTTCTTCCACTGCCTCCAGGCCTCTGCTTCATCCCCAGGGCTGCCACTGCCACTGAGAAATGCTGCTTCAAGCCCCACACTGCACCACTTCAGCACCATTCCACAAAGACCCAGTTGCCTCCGTTGCCCTGCATTTCAGAGGATCTACAATGTTCCACTTAGCTTCCAAGTTTTTCTCCAACTGCTGACAGCTCACCCAGCCTATGCAAGGGCAGAGCCCAGACCATTAAAGGCTTCAGGCCTCTACTTCAGCCCCCACCCCGGCACCGCTGTCACTGAGCAGCGTGGCCAAAGGGGCATAGATTAGGAGAAGAGATACATGAATGGCGGCAGTTGTAGTAGCCTTGCAGTTGTAAGTGCTGCTGGGTTGTGTGATGGCTGAGGCTTCTGGGGGTTTGGCAGCTTTGTTTGCATTGCTAGGCTGTACTGGGGTGATTGATGCTTAGTACCTCATTGCAAGCAGCCCCCCTCAGCCCTTGAGGAACCCCATGTCCTTTACCTGGGACTCCATCCATTTAATGAAACGCATTTCTCGCTTAAGGACCACAACCAGGTATGCCAGGATTGCGGCTTTTGAGCAGAGCATGTGATGTCTTGCTTAGCAACTGCTTTGCTCATCAAGTGAAATTCCACTCCCAATTGTAGTAATAAGTGGAGAACTACTTGTAGTATGATTATTAATCAATGTTCTTACGGTGATATTTTAGTGCAGGGGTCTGAAACTGTCGGCCTGCGGGCCGGACGCGTCACCAGGAAATCACGCCCACCCCATTGCCGGCAATGGGGGAAAAGTTCCAATAAGTCACATGACATCACGTGACATCGTGAGTTTGACATATCTGTTTTAGAGGTGCAAATAAATATTATTACTTACATGGGTAATGTATCCATCCTTGATAAAATGGATTTATTACTCTTAATTTATTAAATTTGTACCCTTACAAATTTACAATCTTTCAATGAGGCTATCAATAAAAGGCAAATTAATAATGAAACTATAAAGAAATTCATTAAATTATTTCAATAAATAAGGTGAAATAAAACCAGTTATATTTAAATGGACTGTACAAACTGAAGATTCTAGCCATTTCCAGCTGCTTGGTGATACTGTGTGGTATGACTTAATTCTGTTTTACCCTAGTGAAATGCCAAAATTGCTTTTTGATATAAAAAGTACAGTGTTTCATGTATAAAAAAACTGAAATGAAGTATTTGGGGGTTTTTTGGACATGGAATAAGGAAGTATTTTCTTAATGCTTGAGTGCTCAATATATCTTCCATTGATAGATAGATCAGCTTACAAGCACCATCTCAGATTAATATTAAACTAAATACTTTATGGTTGTAATATGTTGTTCAATTTGGGAGATTTTCTTCTTTTTCCCATTTTTGAGTTTTGTATCATATTCTTGATAAGAATCCTCTTTGACACATTTGTTCATGCCATCTTGATTAGTTCCAATTAACATATTATCCATCCAAGTATGGATTTTAATTTTTATTTTTCAGCAACAGCATACAGTAGATGCCAAAAACTCAGCAAGGCCATTGCAGTTAAAGTTTATAGTATTGAAATGTTATTCTGCCAGAAAAGTGAATGGGAAACATATTTTCAGATGTACATTGAAAGAAATATAGACTCACTGGTCTGTAAATAATGCATGCATAAATGTTCATTGCATGGTATTTATTTATTTATTTATTTATTTATTTATTTATTTATTTATTTGATCATATTGATTCCCTTCAGAAATAACACTATGAAACAAACAGTTCAAAATACCTTTATGGATGGTGCCTTTAGAATAAAGTCTTTCATTGCCTCTTCCATTGCATTACCAGTATAAACTTTATATTTTTAATGAACAAATCACAAATCACTTTGAAATTCTTCCATGTATTCTCTCTGTAAAGTTAGATTTATATTTTTTGCATCTGTCTTACTGTGATCCACAAATACTAAAAACAACAATAGGAAGTTTTAGGGAATATTAAGAATTCTGTGTTCAAAAAACAAACTATAATAGTATCTTTATTCCTATGAAATAACAAATTCATGATTAAATCATTGATGAAACTAATGATGATTTAATTTATAACCTAGGACTTTTGTTGAGTTGTGTAATTTATCTATGTAATACTGATGTATGTCTCTATATTCTGGTATCAGTATTCAATGAAAACATCTATGTCTTCAAATTGGGCAGAGTGAAAACATGATTAAAAGATGTAGATTTGTGTTACATTTTGTAAAAATCATTTTTTAAAAAAATGTAGCATTTCCATAACAGTGGAATGTTTAGAATGTTGCACCAGTGTTTTTTTTTTTTTTACAAATTATTGGGTATATAATATAAACATACTATATTCAAATGTTTGAGGTACTTAATTTAAAATAGATTTTTTTTACAGTAATGAATTGAACATACCGTAATAATCTTAAATAGCATGCTATTTGGAAAAGTAGTGTATATGTTAATGGCAAATGAATATTAGAAGTATTACTGCATTTCTTCCTTAATAGATTTTAATATATATATTACTACACTATGCTGTGTTTGCAATATTATTTCCAAGAATAAAATATCACTACTCAATTGTGGTCGTAGTTCTTGGCCAATGACTACTATCGAGCCCAAAATTTATACAATTAAGTGAGAGAGTTGTTAAATGAGTTTTGCCCATTTTACAACCTTTCTTGCCACAATAGTTAACTTAGTAACATGGTTGTTAAGTTAATCTGGCTTCCCCATTGACTAGGCTTGTCAGAAGGTCACAAAAAGGGATCCTGTGATCCCGCGACACTGCAATGTCATAAATATGAGCCACTTGCCAAGCATCTGAATTTTGATCACATGACCACAGGGATGCTGCAACAATCATAAGTGCAAACAATGGTCATAAGTCATTGTTTTTTTAGTGCTGTTGTAACTTTGAACAGTCACTAAACGAAAGGCTACAAGTCAAGGACTATCTGTATTTTGCATTTATACCATGTATCTTAGCTGTATTATCAGTTACAAAATCCATGCATTGACCTATAAGTTTTAATAATTTGGACTTTTTATTCATTGGATTGGAATACATTAACATTATGAATTACCCGTTCAAAAATAGCATTACGTATGTGTTAAACTGTATTTCCATTTAATAGTGTTTTGTTCACTGTTTCAACTCCATACTCCCAGTATAAGCAAGTGTTTTAAATGGAAAATAAACATTGGCAATGTGACGTAATTTGTATTTACTAACAAAGTTGTATGTGTCTGTATTACATAATAAGCTTCTACTTCCATCTTGTATTCATTTGTGAATCTTTGTTTCTCTTTGCATTAGTCATTCTCCTTAGATAAATTGTCCATAAGACCAGGGATTCCATTGGCAAATTATCCAGAAAATGCTATCAGTGCACATTGTGACATTTGTGCCACTGGTGTATTTGCTATTATTGCAGTAGTCTAATTACCCTGCCAGCAGTCTCTTCTGGCCAGCATTGTTCCCTTTGTTTGTTTTTTTCATGGCACCGTGGTCCTAACTTTGTGTCCGAGCACCTCAAAATAAATCTCCTATTTATTATTGATTCTCTTCCTTCCCTCTTCTTTCTTTTCTCTCTTTTCACTTTCCTTTTTTGACTGACAGCATCACCCAGACAAACAGAGCACAGATGTGCCAGCAGGAGAAGCAGAGGCACGCATGCAGAGGTTCATCGAAATTGATCAAGCATGGAAAATTCTAGGAAATGAAGAGACAAAAAAAGAGTATGACCTGCAGCAGCGTGGTAGGTTCCTGCTGAGGAGGGCTGTAGTAGCAGCAGCAGCAGCTCTCAGTGGTGGAAAGTGTGGGAGTAGTTTGATGTTGGCTTTTGAAACATTATTTGTTCAACCAAAACATTTCATTTGCTTCTATCTTGCTTTCATATTTGGATGCATCATTTATATTGATTGCCACATCTACATTAGGCAGTTAAAAACCTTAAATTACTTTTGACAAAGCGTTAGGTGGTAACTGTTCTAAATGTAATGCATGTAGGATTTAGATAATAATGACTTCATTTAGCCATTCTTCATTTGACAGTATTTAAAGCGTTTTCACTAAATGTTCTTAATTACCAGAGTCACGCCCTCTGCCACATTCCACTGCTACATTTTAAATTAGTTTGAGTAATTTATGTCAAAGGTATCCTGCAACATATGTTTTTTTATGAACACTTTGCAGTAATTGACCTGGATTCTTTCTATCACCTTTTACAAATCAAGCACTGTCCTAGGATATATTTTTTTTTCATAAGGCACGTATGATGCCAGCTAGCTTTCAGCAAGCAAGTTATAACTACAATTCATTTAACCAGGCAGTTCCAGTATACCTTTTGTATATCTCTTGAAATATAGCATTGTAAAACAGTGACAGGCTGTTGTGAAAAAGAAAGGGGGAAATGTAGGTCAGATCTGTCACACATGGGCTACCATTACATGACGTGATAGGCTGTCTTTCTGTTCTGGCCTCAGGATAGGAGTCCCTCAGCCTTCCATTAGAACCTTCAATAAATGTATACCCACCCTCCATGTTAATGGGGGGAGTCAATAATAGTGTATTGCCTGTGGGGAAAACACTCAGTTGCACTCTGCAGTAACACACTCCAGTCTAGCATTGACGTGTAACTACCACCACTTTTTAGTGTGTCTGATAAAAGCTCACTTTCTCTGCAGCATGTTATTGAATTCCCTTCCATTGTACGTTGGCACACCATCAAACCTTTTTCTCTTGCTGTTTTAACTTCCCTGCTGTGAAGGTTGCCACAATTTTATTTTAGAAACAAAGGCTTAGTCAGCATGGCTGGCAGATACATATAATATACTGTGTAGACAAGCTTATTTTTGTTCATTATTTATTTGCAAATGTGCAATGGACAAAATAAATTTTGATCTAATCGTATGGCTTAAAGCCTAAGGAAGAATTAGTACTTGTTAGGCAAAAAAAAAAAAAATGGAGCTCTGCTTTTCAGAAAAATAGCCTCCCTTTTGTAACAACTGAAATTATTTCATTCAAACATATTACATAATTATATTTGAAATAAAAATATAAATATTAATAGCTGGCATCATCCTTTCAGGCAGTGTGGAGGATGAAGATTTTATTATTTATTTAGAAAGGTTTCCTGGACTTATTTTTTTTTTTAATATTTAAAACTTAGCCACATTTATTTGATTTGGTTGAACCTGGGCACTGATGTGCATTTCTTGTTTTTCTGAGAGGACTGACAGTTTTATGTAAAGAAATTACTTAATAGTAGTCTATGTGCTAGCACTTGTTGCAGTCACTGGAATGGCAACATGTATGCCTGGGACATGTAGCTTTTGTTTTTAGCTATATTTGATGTATTATAACTGTTCCCTTCATCGGGATGTTTCTGCCAGTAGAAGTGATTAAACTATCAGAATGGTAATCAACATTATCTCCAAGTTGGGATTTCTGATTTCCGCTTTCTAGCTACCTTGAAAATGTGTAATTAGAAAGTGATCACAGGAACAAGGTTGGCACTGAATATAGAAGAATAACAAGCCAGTAATTCCAGTTAGGATATAACACAAAACCAATTAGAGAGAGCGGCATCTTTATTTAAATTTTGCCACAACCACCAGAAACAATTGGAACACAATTCCTAAGCTTGTTGAACCAAGTAAAACAAATTGGGCAGCATTTATTATCACTTTTTTAATGAATAGAGACATTTCTGAAGATTTCTGGCTTATGTTAAGTTGTAAGATTTATTTTATTTTTATTTACTTAATGTACGGCAAAAATGTTAAAAAGCACAGTGACAGTCCAGTTGATCTAGAGCAGACATGTCAAACTCGCGATATCATGTGACGTCGCGCAATGTATCAGGGCGGTTTTTCCATTGCCGGCAATGGGGTGGGCACGGCTTCCAGATGATGTATCTGGCCCGCAGGCCGGCAATTTGACACCGCTGATCTAGAGTGAATGAATATTTATGTTGTTTACAAATATTGAATATAGGTAATTCTCAATTTACAACTGGTCGCTTAGCAACTATTTGAAATTACGATGAACCCCTCCCCCATGTACTTCTATACAGCTGCCTTGCCCCGATCACATGATTGCTTTTTAAACACTTAGCAACCAGCCAGCATTTACAGCCAATTGCAGCATCCCATGGTCACATTACCACAATTTATGTCGTTTTTTTATTGAAAACGTTTATTTCTGGTTTCTGACAAAAAACATTCATTAGAGATAATGGGTTCACTTAATGTCCAGGGTGATTCATTTAATGACTTCTGCCAAAAATGTAAAATCAGGTCAGTCGCATTATGACCCACTTAATGACAGGCATGACTTACAACCATGATTCCAGACTCAATTACAGTTGGAAGTTGAGGACTACCTGTACTTAATTGTTTCGCTAAGTGCATCTACAGAAGCAGCAAATTAAGCTCCAAGAAAATATTTATAGGGATTCAGCTATTTCTTAGAAACTGTTTAATAAAAATATACTGAAAGTCTTCAAACATTTAATTAATAAATGTAATTTTGTTACAGCTTATAATTCTCTAATTTGCTGCCGCTTTAATTCAGCAGTTTATATACATTGCCCATTTTTTTAGATGACTCTGACTCTTATTCATCTTTTATTAAATTGTTGTTTAAGACATACAATTTAAATGAAACTATTTTTAGATGTCTCTTCAGTGAAATTTAAAAAGCAAAATTTAAGATTGCATAACTTCTATTAGGTTGCTTGCTTGCAGTTTCTATGTAAGTGTAAAATCTAATTGTTTCTGCTCACAAGTGATTCACATGGCCCTTTTACTATACTTATGTTTGCTAACCTCTCTTTTCTGAAGTTTTTCATTACTTTTAAAATGTGTTTTCATTTCAGTTTCCCCAATGTACTGCTGTTCCACCATTTTTACATTAAGACTTTTCTTTTCATACATTTCTAAAGATGGACAAATAGTTCAGATGAGCATTTTAATTACAACGTTGCTGTGATTTAGAGGTGACTTTTTTGAATGCCCCTGAAAATAGGCCACGGGGCAGGAATGTTATGACTGCTACCACTGGTGAATAATGGAGTTTCAATTCAGGACTGTTAAGTGTGGTATTCCTTTTCTTTGTTTTCTTTGGTTTTGATTTTGTTTGTTGGTTTTTGTTTTGCATTTTTCTTTTTCTCCTATTTGTTGGATTGTTAATGTTGTTAATTGTTTTAATCAAATTTTATGATGGGAACTGTCCTCTCCTCAGAGTTGTTAATTAGTGGTTTAAAAACCTTACAAAATAAATAACAAATATCAACTTCATACTGTGGTTCTCTAAGAACCCTATGGTGAATATAGGCTAAGAATGTATTGCTCAACATTACAAGACAAGATAGAAAGCTATAGGTTTATGGGAATTGAAAGTTTATAAATATTACATGTATTCATTGTACTTTTCTGTTTGTCTATTTATTTTCCTAAACTTTATGCATCTTTTTGTTCTAATAAAAATATCTGAAAGCCATTTTCTTAAACTTTCTTATTAACTATTCTGTCATCCTGTTACATCTTCTCCATCTTAGATTTAAGCCAAGTTTCTGTAATACTGGCTTTGAATAATAATCTGATTTTCTGGAGAGACTTTACCCTCTTTATTTTCCTTTTCACCTTCTTCTTCACTATCTTAAATACCAGGAGGTCTTTTAAAGTCACATGTGATTGGGTTGAGAACTTTTTAAATATATAATTACCTACATACATCAAAGTAGCAGAGTAAAGCATGATAATATCTTTTTAGTAAAGTGCATATATTTTTGAAACAAAGCAGTAACATTTACAGCTCATAAAAAAATACTAGGAACTATTTAGGATTATATCTAGGATAATCTCAGTTTTTTATTTTTGTTATTCTCTTCTGTGGGAGAGTTTAACATAATGTCTCTTCTGTGCATGACACTCTTAATTTGATTATTGATCTGAAGATTCATCATAGAATTATTGAGATGGGGGATGGATGATGATATGCTCAGATTCAAAATTTATTTTGTGGTATACTATTGATACCTGGGATGCTTTTTGAAAGAATATGTGGCAGTAAAAAGTTGATTGCACTTTCTTCAGTATTTGACATACAGAATAGCTCCATTTGCAATATGTCTTCCTTTATCTTTCTCCACAGACCACACACAATCCTGGTAAAGCTTTACTGAACTTTGCTTTTAATAGTGATTTAATATTTATTTATAAAATTATGGCTGCATTATTTTTCATCTATAGGAAAGTCCTCGGGGAAATTGTAGTTTAAAAATTAAAAAAATAATAATACAGTAGATTAGAAGTAGGAAGAGGCAGAATATAATTGTTGTATTTAAAATTATATATAACCAATGAAGAACTGAAATATTTTTAATGCTTTCCAAAACCTAATAAAAGATTCAGTCTTATTTCTGTAGGAAGAAAACACCTTGGCTATTAGGATAACACCATAGCCATTGAGATCACACAGAAAGTCTTCAAAGGAAATCTTAAATTAAGGGCAACGTCATAGGAAAGGAGGCAGTCTTTTAGGTATTTCATTTAGGTTTTATTGTCAAGAAACATTACTCATCCAACTAAAAATTAATTGTATACACAGTTGTCTCATTCATCTTCTAAGAAATGCTATCAAATCTGTGTAACAAAATAAGATTGTCAATAAAGTATTCAGAAAGTATTCTAAAATGTTGCTAGAACATGCTCATTTTTCTGAGGTCCACAGCAGTTCTTCTGTGTTACACAG